AAGGCAAGGAATGTTGAGGAAGAGTCATGAGACATATTGGCTAAGTATTGCAACTACCGATGGACATAAAGAAGACAGGTTTGTAGTGACTGAGAAGCAATCACATGCTTAGGTAGAGGTGGCAGCCAGTGATGAATATAACAAGTGAAATTGAAATAATCGGGTATGGTGCTTGTGTAGATTTGAGGCTTATAAGTTAAGGTCGTAGTTCCATGTCTAAAAGGATTATTTTATTTTTTAACAGTCCTTCATTACAGTTTGAAGCTGCTTGGGCACTAACTAATATAGCATCAGGAACCTCTGCACAGACTCAAGCTGTTGTACAGTCTAGTAAGTCAAATCTTTCTTTTTAATGATGACAGAGGATTTTATACTAAAGACTGAATTTCATCTTAGAATTATTTTGAAGTTACAGTATAAGTTTTTATGTTACTTCAATGATTTTTTTCTTTTCCCTCAGTATTAAACTGTCATAAAATAATTGTTACTTTGGACCCAAAAAGAAAATGGACTATTATCTTTCAGGGTGGAGACTATCCATCCCCTAGTAAGGACTGAAAAGTCCTGTGTTAAATACTTTCTGAGTGTGCTGAGTAGCTTAAGCCTTCTCATGTTATGGCATATACTTGTTTGGGGCGGGCAGGGCAGGACAGGGCCTAGTCCCCACCTGACCGTACACTCAGGACACTCCTGCTTTAGTGTTCTAGGTGCTGGGATTGCAGGTGTTACACCTGGTTTATATACACCAGTTAAAAAGTTGTTTTTGAACTGTAAGACAGGTCTGTAGCACGAATACTGATATTGGGGTTCAACCCAAAAACCAGAAAAGCAAAAACAGCCGAGCCACTAAAAGTCTTACCTTTATCAAGGCTGGGTGACCACATACTAAGTCCCTCTGTCCTCTCATTTTATATTCTCTCTAGTGCTGGGATTAAGGGCACCACCTGGATTTGTTTCTGCATCGTTCTTCTGTAGCCTAGGGTGGCCTTGAACTCACAGAGATTCATCTGACTTTAAGTCTCCCAAATCCTGGGATTAAGGGTGTGTGTCACCGTTGCCTGACCTCTAGTGGCTTTAGCTTTGCCTCTGGTCATAAATAATACGCCACTACACACATCCTCACTGTGTAGCCTTGGCTAACTTGAAACTTGTTATATAGACCAGACTGGCCTTAAAGAAATCAACCTGCCCCTGCAGGAGATTTAGTGCCCTCTTCTTGCCTGCAGGGATGCATACAGGCAGAACACTGAAAAAAGAAAGTCACATAGTGAAAGAAATCAGACCTACCCCCCCCCCCCCAAAATGACATTTGGTGTGATTCTCAGAAATATCCAGAGTAGAGAAATGTATAAACAGAAAAGGCAGCTATTTAATGTTTGCCTGGTTCTGGGGTTCTGAATAATAGAAGAGTAAGTGGTTAGTGATTGCTAGAGATAGGAAAGCTCTTTGAAGGTTGATTGATGAACATGTAGTTCTGCAAAAGTGCTAAAAGGTAATGTATGCTTACCAGTGATACATTCTTTTAAAGTATGATTTTTTTTTTAATAAAAAGGCCTAGTAAATTTTAGTAGTATACAGATAAAGCCTAAATATCCTGGAGCTAGCACAAGAGTAGAAAGTTTAAGAAATGGTGAACTCATCTTGAGGTTGGTTATGGTGATAATGTGTAGGGTTTAATGGAATAAGAAATTAAGAGGCTAGAGAGGTGTTAAGATCACTGCCTGCTTTCCCAGGGAATCCAGGTTCCTTTCCCAGCACACACATACATAGTAGCTCACAGCAATCTCTAACTAGTTCTAGGGCATCAGACACCCTCTTCTGGCTTCCACAGACACTTGTGGTGCACAGATATACATGTACGCCAAACACCCACACACATAAACATAAAGATAGAAGAAGAAATATGGTTATTTTACATTACTTGGTAAATCTGGTTAGTTGGTTCTGGGGAATTTTATTGAAAATAAGTATGATGATTTCAGGATACATGTTTGGGATGGGAACTTAAAAAATTAAATATAGGGAAGATTTTGTGCTTTTTTTTTAAGTTGATGGCATAGTACTTTGCTTTGGGCTCTGGTACTTTATTGTTCAAGTATTACCAGGTTAAAAGTAGTGAAATTAGTTATTTTTATGTATCCTTCCCCTGTTTGTGCAGTGAACTGTAGTTGGACAACTATAGTGTGTCTGACTTGTGACTATTTTATTAACTGAGTTTTTATTACACACAGATGCAGTGCCCCTTTTCCTGCGACTCCTCCATTCCCCACATCAGAATGTCTGTGAACAAGCGGTGTGGGCTTTGGGAAACATTATAGGTAAGCTGAATTTGGATTTGAAAAGGCTTTAGTTGAGAATCTTAAATTAACTTTTTTTCCTACATTGGCATAGCCATTACACACTATGTTTCCTCTGAATTTCATATGAGTTGACTGTATTCATAAACATTTGTAAGGTGGTTCCTAAGTGTAAAAGGAATATATAATTTGTGTTGGTAGTGGTTAAATTTGTGTTCCCCAAATCAAAATCACGGAAAACAGCATTTGATGTCTGACTAATGGTGAGGAAACATAGAGCATCAGTGTCCCAACATGAACCATTGCACACATTTCAGACTTTCCCATCCTGATTGTAATTTTTTTTTTAAATACAATTTTCATTTCTGTAGGTGATGGTCCTCAATGTAGAGATTATGTCATATCACTGGGAGTTGTCAAACCTCTTCTGTCCTTCATCAACCCCTCCATTCCCATCACCTTCCTTCGGAACGTCACATGGGTCATTGTCAATCTCTGCAGGAATAAGGACCCCCCACCGCCTATGGAGACAGTTCAGGAGGTAAATGCAGAATTGTAAAGGCGAGATGGTTTATCTCCCTGATTATGCTTTAGGTATTCATGCACAGGGAATATAATGAGCATATACTGATTTTATTGAAGATTCTTCTGTTTTTAAGTATAACATAGCATATGTCAGAGTTGAGTGCTATAGTAGCAAGAAGAATGCCAGTCCATATAATGTATTTTTTTCATGACTGTTTCCATGAAGAGAAAACATAAATCCAAATAAATGGGGAGGGGAGAAGCTCTGTTTTGCTGTACTACTTTATGGATTTAATGCTAAGAAATATGCAAATAATTTGAGTTAATTTGTATTCAGTCCATTAATTTCTGAAAAAAAATTGATGTTCTTAGAAATGTGCTCTACTTTAAATTTTAAAAATCCTTTAAAACCTTTATTGGCTCAACTGTATAGAGAGTCATTGACTCTGTATCTTTATATCTTTATAATATAATTGACTTTATATCTTTATAACTCTGTGTCTTTATCTAGTGTCTGTTCTTAGTGTGAGTGCCTAGCAGCCATTACTCAGTTGCTCTAGGTTTGTAGAAGATCTGTTAGACCCAGGAGTCAGCAAACAAACCCTATACCTTGCACTGGTTGTAATTGTATGTTTTGTTTTTGTTTCTCGAGACAGGGTTTCTCTGTGTAACAGTCCTAGCTGTCGTAGACCAGACTGGTCTCAAAATCACCGAGATCCATACCTGCCCCTGCCTCGTAGGTGCTGGGATTAAAGCTGTGCGCCACCACTGCCCAGCTGGTTGTAATTTTCCTGACTAAAGTTAGTGTTTTACTCAAACATCTTATTGAATAAAAATTTAGACGATGGTAACTGTGAAAGGAAATTTCTTGTGACTATCAGTGTATGCCTGTGTGCTAACATCTCCATTCTTCTCACCTGACATTTTATGTCATAAATAAGATTTCTGAAAATAATTGACTTTCTTTTAGGAGTATTAATCTTTATTAGATTTATTTGGATCTTTTATTTAAACATTTGAAATACGTTTTTGATTTTCAAATTGAATTTATTAAATTAGATATTCAAACAAATTTCACACTTTAAGTAGTTACTGTTTTTTTGTGTCATTATTTGTTTTTGTAAAGACATTTTCATCAACTAGCATGACTGTTTATCTTCTTTCCTCAGATTTTGCCAGCTTTATGTGTTCTCATATATCACACGGACATAAATGTGAGTAAAGAGGTGTCACTGTGGGGTTTTTCTCTTGATGCTGCCAGAGGGTTTTCTAAAGCAGTGCTAAAGAATAGTGGGGTGGAGGGTGGAGGATGAGAGTAAGTTTAAGTCAGATTGATGTAATTTTTGTTTTTAATCTTCCAGCAAATATGCTGATTTGTTGGTCCCTGAAGTGATTAAGAATAGCAATCTCTTTCTGTGGTTTCACTTTCCAAAGTTTCAGTCACCTGTAGTCAGTTGCAATCTTAAAATATTAAATGAACAACTTTAGAATAATTTATTAGTATATTTAAAATAATTTTGTAGTATATGCCTATCATTGCTCTATTTTATTATTAGTTTTTGTCAATTTATTAATCTGCCTAATTTGTGGATTAAACCAATATCTATGTATAAGAAAATACATCTATGTATGTATGTATGTATATCTGTGTTGTGCTGTAGCACAGTGGGCATCCATGGTGGATATTATAACTTGTCCCCACGGGGGCCTGCTGTGGTCAATTTTAAAGTACAGTTATGTTGTCGGATGCTGCTAGTTCATTTCCCTACTGCCCTGACTCAAAATAATCACACAGAAACTATATTATTTGCAATACTGTTTGGCCAATAGCTTACACATATTTCTGGCTAACTCTTATATCTTAAAATAACTCATTCCTCTTATTTTGTATTTTACCACAAGGCTTGTGGCCTCCTAGCAAGGTTCCATTTGGCGATTCTTTCTCCTCTGCCTGTTACATAGCTTCTCACTGACTCCTTCTATTCTCTCTCTATCTCTTTCAGCCTTGCTATGTTCTGCTAAGTCATTAGCTGAAAGCAGATCTTTATTAATCAGTAATAGCAGCACATATACAGAAGGATTTCCCACACCACAACTATCTATAAAATGGTAAAATTTTATGAAACACTATGGTCATACAATAAATAATTGCCATGACAGAATTAAAGCTAGGTCCATGATCTATACCATGATCTCACAAACACACAACATGGTGTAAAAAGAAATAAGAAAATATAATAGAGAAGTAACCAGAGTGCTGACTATGGAAGTACTATTGGCAACTTAAAGGTAACACACACCAAGGAAGTAACATATGCAGTGAACAATATAAGAGCCAGGTGTGGTAGTTTGCACCTAGAATCCTACTGCTTGGGAAGGAGAGAAGGAGCAGGAGTTCAAGGCCAGCCTGAGTTACATGAGCTCTTATCCCAAAAGAAAACAAAACCCACAACAATGTCAGAGCTAAGAATTGGGAAATATGAAAGTGTGGGAGACTTTAAATATGCTTAGATTGAAAGTTTACTGCATTTGATATGTGTGATGAGAGAAAAGAAATGAGGAATACCAGGTTTCTTACTTACATTTTAGGATGCATATGGCAACACACAACTATCAGCAGGAAGAGGTCCACGGCACCAGGATGTGTGAGATGATAATTAATGAGAATGAATGAGGTCAGATGGGATTATGGAAACAGTTAGATGGGCTTATACCATTAGTAGTCTGTATGAGGCATCAGAAATCAAGCTGCACCTACTGTGGAAGATCGCAGGACAATCCAGAGGGCCAGTTTGTGTGTTTGCTGTTTATCTGTTTTGTCGCTGGAAGTTAATTTGCGATTGTAATGCTAGAGTATCTGGCTTTCTCACCTGTTGAATGTGTTCATGGACAACGCAGTGTCACATAACATCTCACACCAGCCTAGCCTCTTTTACTAGTAATGTAAAGGAAAGTTAACAATTTCAGGAGGTCATTTATGTGCCAAGACTTGGTATTTAGTGACAGGTGACTTGGAGGCCCCAAAGAGCACTTCACACTTGATGACTGAGTGGAATGACTCATGACTCAGAAAGTGTTGACACTCATGCTTGTCATTACCCATCAAAAGGATACAGGCTAAAAATCACCAGGATACAAAGTTCAATATAGACTACAAATTTAGAGCCCCTGTTGCTGTTTCTTTGTTGGTTTGATCTCCTGGTTACTGAAATTTCCTAATTGCTAGGTATTTGTGGCAGATGCCTGTAATCCCAACACTGGGAGCTAAAGGGAGGAGGATAAGGAATTTAAGGCCAGCCTTAGAGACCCTGTCTAAAAAACAGTAACAGAGGCAGGGCAGTGATGCCTCACACATTTAATCCCAGCACTTGGGAGGCAGAGACAGACAGATCTCTGAGTTCAAGACCAGCCTGGTCTACAGAGAGAGTTCCAGGACAACCACAGTGGTTACACAGAAAGCCCTATCTCAACAAACCAAAAAAGAAAAACAGTAACAGAACAAATTTCTCCTGCTTTTTGAAATATTCTTTTTGTATATTATCCATTTTATAATGACAGTTGCAGTATTATTTGGTGAATAGACATTTGTATCTTCATTAATTTCATGTCATAAAGTATCTTTTGCATTAATTCTTAGCTAAATTCTACTGTTCTCTTACCAGAATTGCAACCTCTACTTCCTTTTTCTTGTTTATTTGGTATAGTTATGCCCTTAGTTTTATTTTTAGTCTCTATTACTTTACTTTAGATATGTCTCATATAGATTGTAGAGTTAGTTTTTATTTTAGAAGCTAATTGAGGGCTTCACTCAGGATGTTGTTGCATAGTTGTAAAGTGCTTGCCTAGTACATACAAAGCCCTGTGTGCAACCGCTAACACAACAAAGAGTTTAATTTTAATTCTATAATCATCTTATATTTAATATGCTTATAATTATATGCTTTATTCTAGTAGCTATCTGTATATTTACTTCTTTTTAAATACCTTTTATTTATTCCATTTGCCTGTGCAATGATCAATGAACTTATTCTTTTGCTTCATCTCTCTGATTTTGCATCTATAGACTTTAAGTTGTTTGCACAGTTGGGGGCATTTTCCTCCATTATGCACATTTTTCTTCAGCTCTACCTTTTTTTAAAAAAATAAATAGCTTAAGTATTTTATTTGTCTGCAGCTAAGGTTGTTAACCCTTATAACGAAAATGTACGAAATGATGTTATAGTTTTTGGTTAGAATTTAAATCAGACATTCATTAATAAGGAATCTTCAAATGTAAGTACCCCAGAAATGTCTGTAAGCCATCTGGTCTCAATAACTGTCTCTGAATATCACTTTACTTTGGAAGGTTTTGGCAAACAGTTAAATGAAAGCACAAGAGTTTTCCAAAATTAGGCGTAATTAATAAAACTATTTTATATTCAAAACTAAAACAGTTTTAATAAAACTTTCCTTTCCAAAACAACAGTAAAGGAAACAAGGCATTTTGTAAAGTGTGGTCCTGAACAAGTCACAGTAAAAATAAATGTATACTTAACTCCTACCTCCTCAACACAGAGGCTGCTCGCAGTCTTGGGACCAAGGCTGTTTTCAGCTCTTTCCTGGGACTCTTGATGACTCAGATGTCAGCTTTGTTGTTATACTGCAAGCTCCTTGGCTTTGCCCCTTTCAGGTTTTTTGGGTTTTTTTTTTCTGTTATTATTGTTTACTTAATGTCTTAGATTCTGTAGCTGTGAAGAGACACCACGACCACAGCAACTCTTTCAATGGAAAACAATTAATTGAGGCTTGCTTACAGTTTTGAGGTTTAGTCCATTGTCAGCATGGTGGGGAACATGGTGGCATGCAGGTAAAATGGTGCTAAAGAAGTAGCTGAGAGTGTAGCATCTGAATCCTCAGATGGCAGGATGAGAGAGACACTGGCTGGGCCTGACTTGGACTTTTGAAACCCCAAAGCCATACCTACTAATTCTTCAAAAGTATTGCCATTCCCTGATAACTAATCATTCAGATAGATTAGCTTATGGGGGGCATTCTTATTCCAGCCATCACAGTCCACTCTCTGGCCCCATAAGCTTGTAGGCGTATCATAATGTGAAAATGCATTCAATTCAGCTTCAAAAGTTTTAAAAAGTCTCAACACTGTTTAAAAGTTTAAAGTTCAGCTATGCGTAGTGGCAGATGCTTTTAACCCAAGCACTCAGGAGGCAAAGGCAGGTGGATGTCTGAGTTCAAAGCTAGCCTGGTCTACAAAGCTAGTTCCAGGACAGCCAGGGCAACACAGAAATCCTATCTCAAAAAAGAAAGAGAGAGAGAGAGAGAGAGCGAGCACGCGAGCGAGAGAGCGAGAGCGAGCGCTCCTGTACTTAACAACACAGAGGAAAAGGGATTACAATGAGGAAATGCTATACAACACAAGAATGAAAACCATCAGAACAAACTCCAAATTCTGCATTTCCATGCCTGATGTGCTCTTCAGAACTCCAACTCTTTCCAGCTTTGTTGACTACAACGCTTCTCTCTCTTGGACTGGTTCCACACCCAGTCTTCAGCTTTCCTCAGCAGCTATCCCATGGCTCTGACATTTCTAACATCTTGGGGTCTCCAAGGCAATCCCTACTTCACCTTCACAGCTTCACACAGTGAGTGGCTTTCATGAAGGAACACCACTGCCACACACTTGGCTTCAGCAGATTTCCTTAGTCAAGGAGGGAGATTCCACAACCCATATTTTGTATCCTTGATACTAAGGCCAGAAGCACGTGGCCACAGCTGCCAAGTTCTGCTGCTTAGTGGGGCTGGAGCTTGGGCCTCTTGTCTAGCTTTCTGTTTTCAGTGGTTTCCTTAAGGTTTTCTTTAATTCCCTCGTCACAAGTTAGAAGCTTAGCTGCATGGGGTCTTGCCCGGAGGTCACCATTCCCTTTATTCTATTTAGCATTGAACTCTAAACTTTCTGTCTCCTTGAACACCGGACTTAGCTCCATTTCTTGGTGCCTTTTTCTCTTCAAACTGTACATTTTTTATTTCTCCTTGTTAAGCTTGTTTGTTCAACATCTACGTAAGATTGAACACTAATAACAACACAGCACAGTCAATACTAGGCTATCTTGAAATCGCCTCTGCTACTGCCATTAATCAAAAAGTCTTCAGTTTACTGTCAAGCAGATTGGGGGTGGAGTGGGCAAGGGTAGAAAACAGCCATATTCTTTGCCAAAATACTGCAAGAATGGTCTCAAGGCCACTTACTGGCATTCTTCTCTTCTGAAACCTCTTGCGCCAGACTGCCGTCATCTGCATTGCTCTCAGCACCAGCACCATTATTTTCCCTGCTCTTACTAGTTTGGCCCACTTAAAGCTTTCACCTGCTTTCCTAATCCAGAGTCCACATTCTACCAACAAACTGCATGGCCAGGCCTGTCACAGCGACACCCCAGTTTTGGTGCAGTTTCTGTGTTAATTGCTGAGAACAGACATCTCCAGCACAGCAACTCTTATAAAAGAAAGCATTTAATCGGGGCTTGCTTACAGTTTTGAAGTTTAGTCCATTGTCACTATGGTAGGGAGCATGGTAGCATGAGGCATGGTGCTGGCGCAGTGGCTGAGAACTTGCATTCTGATCCACATACATGAGACAGAAGAGAAAAGACGCTAGGCCTGGCTTGGGCTTTAGAAATTTTAGAGCCCATCTCCAGTGACACACTTTTTCCAGTATGGCACACCTACTCCAACAAAGCCATACTTCCTAGTTCTTCTAAAACAGTTCCACTCCCTAATGACGAAATAGTCAAATATATGAGCCTATGGGAGTCATTATATTCAAACCATACTTACATTATATGGTTTCTTATGGTGGTGGTCTTGAGGTCCTTCTAATTTTTTCCCTCTGACAGTTTCTGTTTCAAACGTGCATAATCGCACCTCTTCCATCTCTTCTCATTCTTTATTCTTTTCATCTCACACAGGCTTGGAATGAGTCCAGATCCAAATTAGTATTTGTTTTCTTCTTATAGGTAATTTGGAACTGTGTTCTCATGATTCTTAGTAATGCTAAAGGTATAAGTTATGTGAAGTTTTATCTGCTCCTCTGACTTGTATGCATGCCTTGTTAAAGGATATGTGTATTCAGGTAGCTGCTTTTGAAAACTTCAGGCAAAAGATGTCTTTAATTTGGACACTTAGTAGAAAGGCCTCTGGATTTCAAATGGGTTAAGAGTGGTGTTTTTGCTGCTGTGAGGACACCAAGGAGAACCACACACTACCTCTGTTCTGAATCAGTTTACCAGATCCTGGAGGCTGGTACCCTGTTTGGTCTTGTTCTTGTAGTTGAAAGCTTCAGATAGATGAGGATGTGGCTTAATTTGGGTTTTGGGTCTCATGCAGGCTGCTCACTCTCACTGTGTAGCTGAGGGTGGCTTTTCCTCCTGCTCCTTTGGTTACATTTCCCACGTGTTATGATCACACATGTGTGCCATTACACTCAGCACTACATGATTGTGCTTCATGCTTTTCATTTGAGGGCCTTTGTCAAGGTTCAAGTGCTGAATCATTCCTTACCCTGTTCATTTTAGTGGCTGGAAAAATTGTATTAGCAGATCATACTCAAAACTAGTAAAAATGAATATATGATTCTTTTGGGATCTTCTAAATTTGAAGCAGCATAGTGTTTTGGCTTCAGGTGTATAAGATAGATCACAGTTACTTCTGTGCCTAATTTTTGGGCTCAGGAAAAATTTTATGCTTGTTTAACAGTATTTATTTTATGTTTGTTATTATGTTTATGTATGAATGCTGCACCTGTGAGGAGATCAGGGGATGACTTTCTCTAGTTGGTTCTCTTCTTCCACCTTTATGTTGGTTTTGGGGATCCAACTCAGGTTTCCAGGCTAACTTGCAAACTCTTTGCTTGCTAAGCTATCTTGCCAACACATTATTTCTATTTTTATCTATCTGGTACATAAAGTCAGAAATTGGAAACAAGCATCCTAAACTTCCGTCTCATGTTTATGAAAGGTGATCGCAGGTAAGCCCTGAGGGAAAGATTAAACTTACATCAGTCAAGTACACGATACCTTTCCCATCTAGTTAAAACAGAAAACTCCTTACTTTTCTGTTACAGCTCCTGGAATAGCTTTTTTCTGTTTGTACTTCTTATAGATTCTTGTAGACACTGTTTGGGCTCTGTCGTACTTGACAGATGGAGGAAATGAGCAGATCCAGATGGTTATTGACTCAGGGGTTGTACCATTCCTCGTGCCCCTTCTGAGCCACCAGGAAGTGAAAGTTCAAGTAAGTATTTTCTTTCTTTTTTCTCATAAAATTCTTTTTATGACCAATCTTTCTATAGCCAACTTTGAGTTAAGTCCAACAGCATGCATCTCAGGATGCCCTAGTTTATCTCCTGAACCCAGATTTGTTCATTTGAAATAATTTTTCAGCTTTTCAGTTATATAAGCCATTAAACAGAGACCTGCATACATTCCATTATGATTTCAAATAGAAAGACGTGAAATTGTTGGTCTCCACAAATAACTTTCTTCTACTATCCTGTTAGGAGACAGCATGGTGCTTGTCTGATGCCCCCATTCTCCTTCACCCCCGTGGGTGAATTTCTGGGTTCTCGTCTCCTGGTGGATGCTTAGGCTCTTCCCTCACCCTCTTCTGTCAAGGCTCCTTTTCCTTCTCACTTAAGCTTTCGTTCTGCCTCTCTTAGCTCTCCGTCCCTGGGATAGTTTCCAGAGCCTTCCACCTGCGAACCCCCTGACTCTGCTCTGATTAGGGTCGGCATTTAGTTCTGCCCGTCCTGCTTCTCTGCCAAAGTGTTTTTCTCCCTACAAATGTGTGCTGGCCCAGGGTAACATTGAGTATATTAAATACAGGACATCATTAAATGAGAAACACAAATGTGTGCTCACTTGGAACCATATTAAAATCTGTGGTGCTGCTTTGGTCATAAATAAGAATACCTGTTTTTAAAGAGAAGATTTGATCATTTTTAGTTTCCATTGTTTTAAAAATTTTTTTTTTTGGATGCTTTATATTTGTGTGGTTTTGGGGGCAGAACATGTTTTTCGTTTTCTTTTGTTATTTTCAAGACAAGGTTTCCTCTGTTTAGCCCAGGCTGTCCTAGAACTTGCTCTGTAGACCAGACTTGGTCTCGAATTCACAGATTCTCTTGCCTCTGTCTCCCAAGTGCCTGGATTAAAAGTGTGTGCCATAACTGCTAGGCCTAAAAACCTTTTTTCTAAAAAATTTTCACATAATTTTTCTGTGGGATTCTATAATTTTCCATAGGAGATGGTTGTTTAAAAGTCCTTGCTAGTTTGGTTCTGGCTTTGCTGTAGGGATGAAATAAATGTTCATCAT